GAATGACTGAACAATCTATAAAGTTATTGAAAAAATGCGGACAATCTAATTACTGTTCACCTAAAGTACGCTTTAATTAACAACTTTTAGTGATGATAATCCTTCTATACTAAACGCAGTTTGGTCTTTTTATTAGAAAAGAAGTTTGAGTACCATTTTTTACGTTTTGATTTGCTCGCCATGTGGCATTACATTTATTGATTTAGAATTACAAATTCACATTCTTTATTTCTCTCCCATTGGAGAGCGCAAGCAGAGAAAAAAACCAACTCAGTGGTGCTTGACAAGTTCCTGCCCACCTCCCCCCCCCCCCCCCGCCCCCAAATACAGCAGCCGAGGATATACACACATACACGCACAATATATATAACGTTAATGAGATAATTACCAACAAACAAAATATTAATATCAGAAATAGAAAACAGAAAATCATTCAGATCGTACAATCACTTCCATTCTCTTTCCATGCAGAAACATAATTAGGAAAGCCTGTAACAAAAACAGAACGCACCTCTTTCCGAGCCCAACTCAACATGTCCATGTTAAATTCACTGCACCAATTTAGAAAACGCTGTAGTATAGATAGCATTATTAGTTTGCCATAATTAGTCTTGGAATGCGGTTTTGTCTATACATCCGTACAACGACTATTGTATTTCTTTTCCCTGAATTCAAGATGGGACATTGAAAGGAATAAATGGTTATGAAATAACAACTTTTTTTAATAGAAAGGCGATTTTGTTATTATAGTAATTGGTAACTTTGCATAATATAGAATCCTTCGAACAATGGTTTCGAATGACTACCATAAGTAGTGTGGCATATTATACGAATCACTCTCTTTTGAAGAATATGTATCTGTTTGTTATTTGTGAAAGTAGTGTTTTCCCATACTAAGAAACAATAGTTATAATGAGCGCAAAAAATAGAGTTGTAAAAGAGTATCATAGCAGAGCTCGGAATCATGTGACGATATCTATATATCGTACCCACAGCCTTCGAGAGTTTATGGCATATATAACGTAGCACTTTGTTCCAAACCGTGTTTTAATTAAAAATTACCCCTACCATTTTCATACCCTCAACTCTATCAAAAGTACATGTACCAAGAGCAAGGACAGACGTTTAACTACAACTTGTATTTCGGGATCTGAAAGGACAGCCTTAGTTTTGCCTACATTTATTTGCAGGTAATGTGAGATTGTCCAAGAATTTAGTTTGTTAAGAAAATAATTAGCCTTGTTAATTATTTTATCTGTGGTAACTCCTGACAAAAATTAACTCGTATCATTCGCATAGATAATGTAGCTCACACTATCTTCAATGTTTACCAGATAATGAATATACAAGCTGAAAAAAAGTTGCCCCAAATACTGCGCTGGTACTCTAGCGGTTAGCGGCTGAAGATTATATCGTTCCTTATTTATTTCAACACACTGACATCGGTCATGAAGATAACTCTTGATCAACTGTGAAGTAATGCCACAAACCCAATAAAGGTACAGCTTTGTAAACAATGTGTTATTATTTCTGCGGTCGAAGAGCTTTGTAAAATCGATAAGTATTCGAAGTGTCATAAATTTCGTTTCGATATTACCCAAAAGTGGTACGTTTAGTTTCAGTAAATCTAATTCAGTCGAACTACCTATCATAAATTCGTGTCGACAGGGCGTAATGATTGTAAATTTCTGACAGAATGCATAAAGCCTTTGATGTATGATTTTTTTTCTAAGACGTTGGAAAACATGGGAAGAACGGAAATGGACTTATAATTTTCTAAGTCATTTTTATCCCCCGCTTTACATATTACCATCACCTTTGCTACCTGCATTTTCTTTTAAGTTCCATTCTCAGGTGTTAAATTAAAAAATATGCGTTAGATATGGAGCAATCGTGCGTAAAACATGTCCAACTGGTTTAATTTGAAGGTCGTATATGTCGAGGGTCTTATGTTTTTCTTTTTAGGTTTATAAAGACCGAGAATATTTTGTCTTCATTGGTTGGGAATAAAAATAGACAGTAAGAAACGTTGAGCGCATATCTAGAAGCATTCAATGAGCGCACACTCTGTACAGGTTTAACAAAATGGTCATTAATTCATTAGCTAAAGGCTCAGCCCCTTCAATTGTTATTTTTGTAATTATATTTTCATGCAATTCATTTTTAAGTAGACAGTCCAATTTTTTCCACACAACATCCGACCTTTTGTTGACCTTGAAATAAATTATTAAAGTATGACTCTGTCAGTCGGTATGCCAACGCCTTTTCTATGCACAAATCGATGATAAAGCGTATTTTTAATATATTTCTTATTTATCATTTTTCATATTTCCTGGGCAACCCGAGGCTTATGTGAGTTGCGAGAAATATTTTTGCCTTTGGTAAGGAAAGCAACGTTCATATGTCTTAATAAACATATCAAGGAAATAATCAAATGCTTTGTTGGCCGATACGCTGCACAGCACCGCACCCAGTTCTCATAGTCCATATGTTGTTCAAAAAGTTGCAGATTTCTACTGATAATGTTCCTAAAACGAATTTGAGCAGCACGGGCTTTTTTTAAGGTTAACATCTTTATCGGTAAACATGAAGATTGGTAGGTGGTCGCATGGTTACCCCAACCAAGCCAGCGACATTCGTTAAAATAGATCCAGCAACGTTCAGTACACAGTCGTAGTACGGGTAGGCTGTACAATCACGTTAAAAAAGCCATATGATTGGCACAACGACACAAAATCAAGCCAATGTTTGGATTTTTTTTTTTCGTTTGCGTTAGGATTTGATTGTAATAAAACACCGCTTAAGTAACGAACGATATGGAAGGTAGAAAGCGCAACATCCCGATTTACGCAGAACGTTTGCTCGCGTTCAGCCTTCTACAATCATCTGCACTTGATTATTTGATTTAGATACAAAACAAATGCAGAACAAAAACTAAGTTGTTTGTGCGGAAAGACTTGATTCAAATTATAGCAGTAGACTGGTGTGATTCAAATCACAATTTAATTCATTATATTAGTCACGACTTCAATCATCTCGATTATTATTCCCCACTAGGCCTATCGCATACAGTTTTGGGGAACGGCCTTCCATGAGAAGCGTTCCTTTCATCATCGGTACGTCACCGTGGCATATTGCATTGTTGCATTGATGAAACTAAAACCGCAGCTCGTAGGCGTTTTTTTTAAAATTTATTTACATGGACAGAATAGCGCAGTTTGAATATTGCTCTACAGAAATATATAAAAGGATGGGTGTTTTTATCCCAACGCAAGCACGGTTTAGGGTCGAATTAATAATTTTGACGATTATTATATGTGGTCTCCGGCGGCATTCCTAAAATAAAAAAACAAAAACGCAAACGTAAAATTTGAAGCATATTTTTTTTCTTCTTTTTTTAGTTTAGTGACGGTTAAGGCGAAAACTAAAGTTTCTGCAGTCTGATGGAAACAGGTTACAATTATCCTCTTGCTATTTTTTTTTAACTTCTTGGATTAATATATTGATTTATTTTTGAGACACTGAAAGTAGAGCTTGTTATGGTGAATAAAATTAAAATACGGCGGCATTTTAGATTATTTTTGGAAGAAAAAAGTAGCGCTGTGGTCTCTGTTTTCTAGCAAAGTTTCGCAAGTTTTTATGCAGCTAAGTAGAGGTGAAAATACGCACAAGTATAGTTGCCGAAAATGTTGTTTTCAAATAGTTTTATTATGGCAAGAACATTTCCAGATTATTATGCTTTAAACTTCTAATTTTGTTTTTTCAAGCACAGTATCTATAGTTTGTACCGCAATATAAATCCCCCCTCCCCTATAAGGCATTTTTCATTGAATAGCAAAGAATAAGAATTCGCCTTTTGGTTCATTTAGAATGACTAAGAAATTTTGATTGAGAAACCGTTTTCCAAAATTGCTCAAATTAAAAAAAGAGTTAAAAATGTTTGGATAATTTTGGTGTTCATTTACTGATTTTGTTTTACCCTAAGTGTATTTTATTTGTCGTGATTTCACAGTTTACACGAAATAAACCTCCTAATTGCGCTGCAATTGCGCTGCATTACAAAAAAACAAACAAAAACTTTGATGTTTTGTTTTGAGATTTGTCTTATGTAGCAAGTTCATCATCTCTTTACTACTATATTTGTTGAACAACCCACCTCCGAAATTAAGAAGGCGAAAATATTAGATTTTTTTCTTGACCATGAACATATCGGCAACAATATGTTCAAGGAAGAAAAAAGTTAACGTGCACATATTGCAACCAATACGTTCATGTTCTTTCTTTTTTCTTTCTTATTTTTCAAGTTATGTTTTTTTATGATTTCCATATTTGTGCTCTAACTCTTCCGTTTATCCCCCTCCCCACACACACACACATTTATTCTATCTACAGATAGCTCACCACAGCTTGCTAGTAAAAATGCCCTTATGCGAAGGAAATGTAAGGACGCATTCCAATTTTGCCATGTTCGAAGTAAAGCGCGTCACAAGTAACGGCATTGCTGGTAACGCGTTATTTTTCCAGTGCTGCACTACCATACCAGTCAGATTTCTAAATAGCAAAGGAGTGAAGTATCGTCTTTACTTGTTTTTTACAATATCGTGTATCAAATTAGTTACTTAACATCGATTAATCCTTTGGTGTGTGTGTGTGATTTTGCTTAAAACGAAATATTTTCGCATACCCTAAACTGCGCGGAAGAAGAGGGAAATGATATTTGCCTCTTCGCGGCATTATTTCCAAATTCTTCAAAAAGCAAATCAGAATTAAAAAAATATATATATATATATATATTACAAATTTGTTAGAAAAATTAAAGGAACAAATGAAATGAGTCCGAAAAACCCTAATAGTTGCGGAAGCTTGTATTCGTTGCTTATCACTGCCCAGTTATGCTGAAATCGAAAGAAACGCGAAAGTAACGCTAGTAGTTCTTGGAGGTACTAATAACGGCATTTCGTCATCAGCTTTGGAGGAATCTAAAAAATGTAAGTGACGCGTTAATTTTTTTTTTGACAAGCTATCGAGTGACGCTATTTTATTACTTACTTTGAACGAAGGTCCGCATAACACTGCAATTCTGACAGCGTGACGGAAACACGTTCCACATATCAGAAGGACCCAAATGGAGCTTCCTTTATTCTAGGAAACGTATCCGCCACCGCTTTCGTTCCGAACCCCCCACGTGAATGGGCAACCGTCTCCCAGTGCGCCCGACAGATGGCGCCAGGCACCCCGAGGGGTGCACTGGAACCCATCCCGCAGCGGGGCAGCGAGCAGGCCGAGCGCGAGACAAGTGGCGGCCGCTCGGTCCGAGGTTCCTGGGCGGATCGGGGAGGGGTGCCGCAGATTGGTAGGCCTCGCGCCGTCCCGCCAATGAACAGGCCGTCGGGGAGAACCCCCCGGCACGGCTCCAAAGAGGTCCTCCCTCCCCTGCCGAGTCCCTCCTCTGCGGGCTCAGTGGCGCCGCCGTCGAGGAGCCGCTGATCCCCGAGAGCTGCCGACGCTGCGATGCCGCCCGTGCGAGGCCCCCCTTGACAACTTGTTTACCGTGCGTTCGTCGCCTCAACGAGGCGCGATAAGATAGGCCGGCCTCCTGCTGACCGCCTGCCTGCTCCGTACGACGACCACGGGGCAGTGCTTGGTTCGGGACCCGCGGTCCCCCCTTCCTCCGCTGGCACGACTTCTCGTGGCTACCGCAAGCTGGCGCCCTCGGCTGACACCCTCCTGATCTCTCGCCGTCGTTGGATTCGTGCGTGATGTTGATCGTGATGCGGCGGACGACTTCCTTCCGGGAAGTCGCGGAAGAGTGGCAGACTCGGTCCCTCGGCGGGCTCCCAACGTGTTCGGAGGACCTCGACGCGGGACGCCTCGCCTGAAGTGTCGTCGTGACAGCGTTGTGGCAGCTGAGGGATCGCCGTGAAGCGAGATATAGAGCGCGGCCCTGCGACTCCCGAGTCCCCCCCTCCGACGAGGCGAAGCGAGGAGCGACACGTCCTTGAGCGGGACATCGGCGGAGAAGTTGACAGTGTCGCGGAGCCCTCCGGCGACCCAGGGGAGCCCTGCGGCATCGCTGCAGCGGCAACGCTGAGGATATGCGCTTCGAGCACTCGGACCTGTCGTGCCAGAGCGCCATGGCGTTCCACCCGTTCCTGCTGTCGGCGCCTGGCGCTCAGGCACCGTCGGCCAGGACCACCGACTTCAGCATGCACTCCATCCTGAGTCAGTCGGGCCCGCCCAACGCAGCGGCTGCAGCAAGCCCGTTCCTGCCGCTCGACTGCTTCTCGGCCGGTTCTGTGCCGCACCCGCTGTTCCCCGGCGGGCCCCTGGGACCCGGGTTGCCGCCCGGGCTAGGGCTGGTCAGGACGGGCCCGCCGCCGCTGACTCCCGAGGACGTGCTTTCGGTGCAGTTCAGGCCTCCGCTCCTGCGGCCCATGGAGCCCGAAGACGACGGCGTCCGGGATGACCCCAAAGTGAACCTCGACGGACTGGACCTCTGGGAGAAGTTCTACGCATCTGGAACCGAGATGGTGGTCACCAAGTCGGGCCGGTCAGTGAGGCATTGCCGATTTTTATTTCATCTTGTATTTAGTGCACCATGCAGAACCTCGTGGCTTATGCTGATGAGTCACGGGTCTGTTTCGTATATCTGGAGTCTTATAGCGAATGGAAATCGTATGCTCAAATCGTAAAAGTGAGATTTATAAGGTTCTGGTCCCTAGTTCTTATATGTCAAATGGTCGAACATGGAACGCGAATTTTCTTTTAAGCAAAAGGAGAGAATCATTATGGGGAATATTTAAAGCAAGGGGGGAAATATGAAACTGCCCTGAACGTCATCCAGCAGAGCGCGTAGCCGACGGAGGAATTTAACAATGTACACATCCCCTATACAGGCGATCAGCCCGAACAATGTAGTACCTCATACACTCACATCAAAGGATTCTTCGCGAAACCTTCGAGAAGAACAGTGCAAATTAGCTTGTGTCGCCGCTGACTGGGTATGGAGACAGTAAGCGCGTGCACAACCGCCCCCCGCAAGGGCATCGTCGCCGTCATTAGCGCTTCGAGTGCATGTCGACGAGGAAGCGGAACAGCACACAGTGAGATCGGGTTTCGTTCCTCGGAGCCGCCGCAGACAGAACCCTCCGCGATCCAGGAAGGAACCCGAGCCGGCAGGCCATGCGTGAAATGACCCCACATATCGCGTCCGCGCTTTCGGGCTCTGTGCTTTCTCGTTGAGGAGGAAAGCTCGATGCATACCGATCTAGAACGAGACACCGCGCCGTGATCTATTATGCGCAGACGGTGTTGACAAAGTGCAACCCAACGAATTTGACGCGAAGGATTCCATTTCGAGTTCCATGAACCATGCAAAACGACAGCATGCGCAGGCACCACAAAACATGAAGAACTCTCGTCCATGTGGGTCATGCGACATCCATCTCAATGAGTGGGTCACGCGACATCCAGCTCAATCAGTACACGTGTCTGTTCCAGAGAGCGGAAACCTTCGTTTTGATGTGAGCTTTCTGTGATGATAAACTTCTTTAAATCCCCCTTTCGCCTTCTAAATTTCAGTGGACGCGTGTCCTTTGGTCTCGAAGAGGCGCAAGTTTCTAGAATTAAGACACCGTCGCAATAGACGTTGAGAGGTGTCCGAGCATAGCTTTTATTAAATATTGCATTTCCTAAATGTATTATATTTGGTTAATCGAGGGATGGCATCTTCTGCGTGAATAAATATTGGCAGTCATAAATGAGAGCCTCATACGTTATGTAATGAAAATGGCGAAACATCCTCATGTGTCTCCGGCCGCGGAAACGCGTGATATATTGATTTTATTTGGCATTGCAGAAATCTTGGAAGCATTTAATAGATTGAGGGTAATGCTTGCTTTACATCGGGTAAAGGTAGTAAAACAGTCAGGTGACAGGGTTAGAGGGAAGGAACAAGGGTCATTGTTACTACAATATTGAAACCATCGATGACAAAATTTTATTTTAAGTTATGTGAATCGCCTCACAATCATGTCTGTATATAGGGTACCAACTACTGCCATTCGCTGTGTTTAGTGCAGTGTTGGACAAGACACTCGACAAAAGTATCTAGTAGCAGTTACTAAATACCTACTCTGTAAAGTGTTTAAACTATACTACACAAATTGCTTTGCTGGCAAAATATATTCGCTGGTGTAAAAATACCTAGAAATACAATTCAATTACTTTTGAAAAAACTTCCGCCTTGCGTAATTTGTATCCGCCTCAGTGGCACCAAAATTCTTTATTTGCAAGCAACTGAAATAACCAAACAAAAATCGCTATGCTATCCTACGCAATCCCAGTAGAAGAAGTAGCGCCAGGGTGAATGTTACACGATGATATTATAAAGACAAATGAGCAAAAAGAGATCACCTGATAGCAACAGTCAAATCTCTGAAAATCACATTTTTTGGGGGATTTATAATGCGTACCTGGGACGCATCGTTTTACTAAGCGCCACTTTCGCTATGTTCGGAGTTTAACTTAAGAAAACATTTGAGAAACCCGAAAGATTGAGTGAATTATAGAGGGCTCACGGGATTTGGCGCGCCTTCCTCGAGGTTATCCAAAGGCTCTATTTAGAGATGACTGAACTCCAAAAAAGAAGCGTATGCGCAAGTGGATACGGAGAAGCACTGCACTGCTGTCCTTCTCACGGCTGTCGATTTCTCTTGTTTTCCTTATACTTACGTAGCTCTGCAAGCGCGCTCATGAAAACATACAACTTTGGAAGGACTCTTCGATTGCATTTTGTAGACGGCTGGTATCCTGTTTACTGCTTTACTTGTAAGAATATATCTGTCCTCATGAAAGGGTCGGGTTAGGTCAGGCTATCACCGTTCCTCCCCATATATCTGTAACACAGACAGCGCTCCCGGGAGTGCCAGTCTGGAGAAAGAAACTGACATTCTTGCCGTACACTGGGGTGAAACAAAAATGCAAAACAACACCGCCTCTCCTGATTTTCTTATATTTCTTCTTATTTTGGGGACATTTGGAGCGTGCATCTTTGGTCCTGGTTGGCGAACATGAAGCAGAAACAACCGAACGCAGAACTAGAGTGTTCTGCGTTCGGTTGTTTCTGCTTCATGTTCGCAATCGATTCAATTTTGGCGCTCAGGTGTGCCCATTCTTATTCCCGTAAATATTCCAGCCACGAATTTTTTCAAAGATTAAAAAACGTATATCAGTTAATAAGTTCAATATAATGAGAACTGTAATGAAGATAGAGTGACGAATAAAACGATCGATCAAACGTATTTGCACAATACCAAATTACTAGAAAAAGTATTTGAAATACAGTATCTTGAGCAGAGTATTTCAGATAGACGCATGTCTGGATCTTGGGTGTCCGTTTCAAAATTTAAATAGATATGCATAACACTAATCATGTCGATCGTACCTAAGCCTCTGAGACGAGGAGAAAGGAGGAAAAATAACGGGACATAGGATCGACATTTTTATATCCATCGGTGACATCTTTCTCCCCCTCCTTGCGTGACGTTCTCCCCTTGGTTCGTATTGCACTTACGTGTGACCGAAATCGAAAGCCAGCCAGTCCCCTTGCCTTGCTTTCTTATTACCTTTTTCGATACGTCGAAGAGCATTCGCTTTCATAATTTCACAAATTCTGAGCAAATGAGTACCATGAATTGCATTGGCAAATTGCGAAAATGACTATTTATTTATTAATACATGTATTCTATACCTTTAAAGCCCAGAGAGCGTTACAGAAGGAAGGGAAAAATCAAAATAAAAGACACATAAAGCAGATGGACGTTACACAAGCAAAACAACAAATGTGGGTTAGTGGGAAAGTAAATATTCTTCACTGGCTCCTTTAAAAGTAGATGCGTTGGTTATTGTGGCGATCGAGATTATCAAGTATGGGGGCTTTCATTGAGCGGTATTATTTGGAATCATCTAAACAAAAGAAAATAGAAAAAAAACATGTTAGTGCGACGCGTCCTATCTTTGCATCTGAAGGAAAATTACAACGTGAACATCATGCTTTACCGTATCATTGCCATTTCAATTTATATCCTCAATGTAAAAAAAAAAAGTTTTATGAAGTGGAAATGTATTTCCGCCTGTCCTCGTCTACCAAATGTTGCGAAGGAGGCTTTTCAATATAACATCGTAGTAAACGTGTACTCGCACGCAAGCTGACAAAAGCACGAGTTACGTGAATTAAGTGCATTCGCATACGTCATATCTCGCGTCTATCTTTTTATCTGGACACTTGTCTGTAAACTAGGGCTGGGCACTTCATCGATTAACCTTCCGATTAATCGATGAATGTTTTAATCGGGATTAATTAACGCTTTTTCTATGCAGTCGGGGACGGTACACCTTTATGAAGGTAAACTTTTGATGAAATTTCGACCTAAAGTAAACTGTAGGGGCGAGATTTGTAACTCCAAACTATGTGGACAAGACACATAAGGGACGGTATACAGACAGGACAATTTTACTGTCTGTATCGTCCCGTATGTGTCTCCACTTTCTAAATCTTTAAAAAGCACCAACACGCACCAAGTACAAGTGGAGAAGGTTATCATGTCCCAGCTACTTCAACGCCGTGCGAGTGTCCGTTTAGCGCATGAGACTATTATGAACGATCAAAGGAGTTCGCTATTGCGGGAGAATATCAAGAACCTTTTCGCTTCTGCGGCTGAAGCAATAATTTGTGGGCGTCTTTTGAATGTTTTCATCTACACTTTAACGTTGATTTAAAATCCCAAATTATTCATTGCGCCGTTTATCACATATTCCGCAAAGGCAAACAGTTTAATTTTGACTTTTTTTAAAACTATGATGCTTTGAAATGACCGAAACAGATTAATCAGTCGATAAGAGGGTGCCGGTTCAAATATTTATTCGACTTCCAGCCCTGCAGTAAATATGTCTAAACTTAAGAACTGTAGGGATTACTTTATTTTGCCTGGTCTATCTACGATCCAAGAATAATCATATCCAAGTTTCGTTTTTGTGACAGCCACTGACATATAAGCAACGGCTGCGTTTAACAATATTCAATATAACTTTTAGAATTTTCGAGTTAATCACCTCATGCTTAAAAAGAAATTGCTCTTGTTGTCACTATATTCGTTGAGTAACCTCACGAAAAAGCGAATTATGCACCATTCCCTGCGGGAAGTAGTAATTTGAAGCTTGGTTGTCACAGAAAAACAAAAATAAAAGCCAATGGTGTTTTTTTTTTTTTAGTTTAAATACCAATAAAGTAGCAAGTTAACAACCGCTTACAAGTAACCGAGTTCAGAGAATTAGGTAATAATCCGCTTGGAGTCGAGTCTTTTTTTTTCAAACCGTTCTTGATATGAAAGCGAGTCGTAGCAGCCTCATTCCCATCCAGAATTTTTTTTTTTTGTTTTTTTTGTTTAAAGGCAGTTTGAAACATAATTATTTTTCTCAACTTGACTGGAATTAAGTGATCTTGTCTTCTCACAGCAATAGACCCTCTTTTATGTGCGCTCACTGCTGACA